CATGCCCTCCCTCCTGCCATCACCTGCTGGACTCTTCCATCAGCTTCTTACTGAGTCGCTTGTTCATGAAGCCATCGAGGGGATGGGCAAGAGGACTCATGCTGATGGAGTACCCATTCGTGTGCTAGGCCTGGACAGGCATCTCGCCTTCTTCATCTCATTTAATAAGTTATTATAAGCCCCAATTTACAGGGAAAAAAGAGAGGCACAAAAGTTGAGCAAGCTGTCCAAGGGGCAGCTTGCATTGCCTCCCTTGGCCCGAGGGGTGCAGCTCTGTGCCGGGCACGCTGCTAGGCACTCAGCAGGAGGGGAGGATTGGTGGGGGGCATAGAATCTAGTTTTGACAAGGCAGCAAAGGAAGCAGACCAAGCAGAACCCCAATCCACAGACCACAGTCAGTGAGCAGAGGGCCGTGGCTCAGCAGCAGAGGAGACTTGAATTCCACCTGCATGGGAAGAGTTCTGGAAGCTTATAGGAGGCGGCACCTTTGGGTCTGGCTGGACTCCTTACTGCTCTTTCCCATGGTCACAGCAGGAGAAAGAGCAAGCCTTGGCCTCAAAGCTCTGGTGCCCAGTGTGTGTTTGTCACTACCCCAAAGGGGGCAAAGGGAGGAGAAGCTGGCTGCCCTGCCAGTGACCCCGCTATGGCCCGGCCAGCCTGCCTCCAGTCCTGCCAACCTGGCCTGGCCCAGCCAGCTCCCAATCACAGGGTCTTCTCTGCCAGCTAATGACCATGCCGTCTGCAGCTCAGGCCACCACCCTCTTTTGGGCGAGGCAGCAGCTACCCACAGAGCCTACTGGCCCAGACAGCAGTCAGGCCAAAAATCACAGCTGCCTGTCACATCCTCTGGCCCTGGTGCTGTGGTCTCCTCCTCCTCCTTCCAGGATCACGAAGGACGCTTCAGAAAGCTGGGGCTACCGGGGAGCTCAGACCTCACCCTGCTCTCCCTGGACATGGGCACACCGGACCCCAGAGAGGGGCCGACTCATCTCAGATCACACAGCCAGCCAGCCAGCCTGTGCACAGCCTATAGGGCCCACGTCCTTCCTGGGCCCCATGCTCAGTCCAGCAGTGCCCTTCCTTAGCCTTGAGAAAAATACTCGTCCAGGCTTTTCACATGCAAAGTATGCTTTCGAGGTACTTGTGTGGAAGTGAGACAGGACATTTTCTAAGCACAGATTTACATTCAAACAGATGCAGCTTTGCTCCCTGCTCCCTACTCCAAGCTGTGTGACCTTGGGCAAGATCAGGTACCTCTCTGAGCCCCAGTTTCTTGGGGATAACAGTAGCTACCTCAGGGAGTTTGCGTGAACAAGAGTGTCTATAAAGCATTTAGCGCATTGTCTGGCTCATAGTAAGTACTCAGGAGTATCTGTTACTGTTGATAGCATCACTGTAGTATTGTGTGGATACATTTTACAAACTGCAAAATGTTATGGATGTAGGTATTATTTTTTACTATTACTGTTGAACGTTAAAGATTCAGAGGGGACATAGCTAGAGAGTTGGGTAATCCAGGAATGTTTCTGAGGGAACTGATGACCTGAGTCAGGTCTTGACAGGTGGGGAGGTGAGTGGAAAAGAGGCAGGGATGGCAGTTCTGATGGGAGGAACCACAAGCAAAGGGGCTGCGATGGGGCCACATGTGGTGTGTTTAGAAGACAGTGCAGAGCAAGGAGCTTCTGAACCCCACCTGAGGAGGTGGGGGCTCCTGTCTAGTGCTGTTAGCAGTCTTGGATACGGTGGGCAAGGACCTGAACACAATAACTAGGGCCTGGTCTTCATCTTATAGGTGGTAAGGAGCCATAGTGCCTTCTAAATGGGGCCCCATTAAGCTTTGTGAAATTTGAGTTCTGACCAACATTCAAGGCCCTCTCCCATCTGAGCTTTTACCCTCACTAACTCCACCAAGCCAGCCTCCTCGCCCCAAGTTCTCTCTGCCTCTCGGCTTACCACGCCATCCCACCTGCCCCGCCACTAGCCCACCCATGATTCACACTCACAATGAGGCACCCCCTTGTTGAGTGCCTATAGTGTCATGTGTTTCACACATGTGACCTCAAGATCATCCGTAACCACCCTGAGAAGTGGACATCACAACCTTCATTTCACAGAGGAGGAAATGGAGGCCTGATGGGGTCATGTGTCTTGCCCATGCTCTCATGGTGAGAAGGTGACACAGCCAGGATTCATTCTTGGAGGGATGTCAGGACCTCGCCCTCCACTTAGAGCAAGTGGCCTCTAGCTCCTGCTCAGACAGCCACCTCCCTGACAAAGCCTTCCTGGTTACCCCAGTCCTCAAGGGCCTCCCCTCTACCCCTTTCCACCCTCTACCCCCCTTGCCCCTCCCCTTCACCACCTCTCTGGAATCAGAGGCCCACTTGATCCTAGCTCAGCTAGCCTGGTTCCCAGTGTCACCTGTGGGACTATCTGGGCCCCAACAGGAGAGATAGGACATCATCAGCCCCAGCTCTCTCCTGTTGGGGGCCAGATGATAATTTCTCCCTGTCCTATCCTGCCTGCCCCCCATATCCAAGACTGCTAACAGCACTAGACAGGAGCCCCCACCTCCTCTGGTGGGGCTCAGAAGCTCACTGAGCACAGAGCTATCCTGCCCCCAGCTGAGGGGAGTAATAAATTATTCACTGCACCTTGGTGCCTAGGGAGGTCAGACAATGGGCAGGATGGAATGGACACCAGGTCCAGGCACCACAGTCCTGCCAGCAGGAAGCCAAAGGAGGGGGTAAGAATCCAGAGCCCCATGCCAGTGTCCCCAAGCAGACTGATTCTAGAGGCTATGAGAACACAACACAGCCTGAGCTGAGCAAATTTAGGTCTCTGAGCCTGCAACCATATCCTGCGTTCTAATCTAAGACAAGTCTGAGAATTTCCCCAGACTTCCTGATTAAACTTCAAGCTTCCTTTTCTCCGCAGGGATGGAAACAGATATTTGGCCAGGCACTGCATCTTTGTAGCTCATTTAGTCCTCACAACAACTTGCTAAAGGAGGTATTCTAATTTTATAGACTCAGAGGGATGAAGTGATTTGCTCAGTGCCACTCGACTAGTGGGAGGCAGAGCAGACTCACGCCCACCTGGTCTGTCTGATTTACCACTGTCTGGGGCTCACCAGTTACTGTGGCTCAAGGCTACCACTTCACCCATCTGGGTAACTTCCAGGGCACCTGGTATGCAATTGGCACTCAAACAGTTCTGCAAGCAAACTCAAAGGCCCTGAGTAAGTGGTTTCACCTCTCTGAGCTTCAGTTTCCCACACAAGACTGAGCCATTAATAACCAGCCCAATCTTGGCAAGTACAACGTACCCCTTAGCACTTGACAGCTAGAGGCGATGGCCCCACTAACTGAGCAGGTAACACACAGCCTGCCATAACCCATTTTAAGATAGCGCTTGGAACCATGGATGCATCGAGAGGTCCCAAGCGACTCCACAACCCTCCTCTGCTCCACTCCAGGTTCCAGGCTTTCTCCACATTATGAAAGGAGTTCACAGGTGTGAAATTATTCCATCAAAGAGCTTTGTTTAGAGATAGGGATTATTGTGAGGATTTGAATCCCTGGATGTAGGTAGGAGGTAGAGGGAATCCCAAGCCCCTCAGTCACCTTCTCTTTTGGGTTCCCCCAACCCCTCCACCCCCAGGGATTGAGATTCCAGACTTCTACTGACCTCTCACCACCCTCCTCCACCTTCCAGGGTGGTTTCCCCTTGACTCCAGGGAGTTGGAGTCCTAGCCAAGGCCACAGGGCCAGACCAAGGCCATATCCCCTCCCCCTCCCCACACAGAACAAGAGCCCACAGAGTCCATGCCAAGGGCTCTTTCACAACACCCCTCTCCCTACATGCCTCTGGGGCAGCAGAAGCATCCCCAGCCTGGGAATCAAGACACCTGGGACTGTGCCCCAGCCCTGGCAGCCCCCAGCCTTGGGACCTTGAGCAGGCCTCTCCCTTCCTGGGCAGAGGTATTCTGCAGGTTCCCCTGCCCTGGAGAGAATGAGGTTGGACCTTCCATTTGGGCCAAAGGCTATGGTGGGGCTGCAGGCATTCCTTGGGGCCCCAGCACCAGCCACACTGAGTCTCATCACAGCCTCATACATGATAGCCCGGTTCTCATATCAGGGATAGGGAAAGCCCCAGCCACCTATCCAGAAGATCCTAACTAGGGAGGAGTGTGAATATCTTGAAGGATGCTCAGGAAGGTTTTCTCAAGTCTACTACTGGCTCAAGGACTGGCTTTAGGACCAGACAATTGACACTCCCCTCAGGCAGGCTTCAGTGTCCCCATTAGTAATGTGAGGGAGGTAAGCCAGGTGAACCCATCTCCAGCCACCCCACAGGGGCCACATCTCCAGCTCTGAGGGACCCTTACTTGGGGATCTCTGCAGTGAGTTCACCAACAGATAAGCACACTTCAGGATCTCCAAAGTGTCTTAGAGACCCTGGAGTCTGACACACAAGGACCAGGAGCTGCTGCTCTCACATCCTGGGCACACAGGGAGGGAAGCTTTGGAACTGGGAAGCTTCCCACCTCTGCTCTCAACTCTGGGTCACCTTTCCTAGGGGGTGACATGGCCAGGGAGCGGGAAGCGAGAAGAAGCCACTTCCTCAGCCTTAGGATCAGCGCTCAGATGCTCTGCTTCTTCCCCCTCTATCCTCTCCCGCTCCCCAGTCTCCTCCCCGCAGTGAAAAGAGAAGGTCACTCAGTCTCGTTAAGCCTCAGTTTCCCCAACTGCAAGCGCCGATAACAATATACAACACTTATTACAGAAGCAGCAGTGACCCTTAGGCGGGGCAGGTCTCGGACCCGCACACAATGGGCCCTAAATAAGTGCCCGTTTTCCCTTTCCCCTCCCCTTCCCGCGCCCCCTCCCAGCCACTTCCAGCGTCTGCCTGTCCCCCCCCCACCGACAATCCCTCCGCTGCCCCCCGCGCTGCCTCGATGGGGTCGAGAACCGCTCCTGTCCCCCATCCCGGGCTCTCACCTGCAGCCTTGGCTCTCGTGGGCCGCGGGGACAGAGGGGTCCCCTGTGTTCGGGGCAGGCGCTGAGTCCCTCGCCTGAGGAGGGAGGAAGGGGGCAGCCTGGGCTCGCAGCACCAGCCCGGCGGTTCGGTCCGATTGTCCTGCCCGCTTAGGACCCCTCACAGAGCGCACTACCCGGCAGGGGCTTCTCCGGCGCTCGCGCGGTTCCAAGTCCGAAGCGCTCGGGCGGAGGCCACTGAAGGTTGGGGTCTCGTGGAGGCGGGGGGCGTCCGGGGTCCCGCGCACCGGAGTCAAGGGCCTGGGGCCACCCTGCGCCAGTCCCGGGGCGGGGGCTCCGATCCTCACTGATGGGAAAAGCGCTGAGCGACCCCGCAACCAAGGACCGCACCGCGGGGTTAGAAGCGTCCCGCCCCGGCGCAGCGGGTCAGGGCCGGGGCTCTGCGCGTCTCGGCCGCACAACCCGGACCGCGGGGCTGGGACAGGCAGGGCAGGGCAGGCGCCGGCGGGGAGGCGCGGCGGCCGGAGCCCCGCGGGGAAGTCTTTCCAGGTCCCGACTCTGCTCGCTCCGCAAAACGGGGCGGACCTCGGCCCGGCGGCCGACTCCCGAGCTCCCGGCCGCGGCTCCACTTCCTCCTCTTCCCCCGCTAGCTCCCCGCTCGCTCAGCAACGCGCCACCGCCACCTCCGCTGTCAACCCCACCACCCACCCCCACCGGAGCCGCAGCCCGAGCGCAGCCGAGGCAGCGCCGCCCAGCGCCCGAGCGCCCGAGCGCCCGAGCGCCAGGCAGCGCGGCCCCGCCCAGAGAGGGCGGAGTCAGCAGAGACCCCGCCCCAGCCGGCTGCGGGCAGGGGCGGGGCGCACGCCGGCTCCCCTCCCGGGCCCCGCGCGTGGGGCCGCAGGAGCCAATCCGAGAGTGGGAGCACAGCGGCGCCCTCTGAACGCAGACTCTACCTCGGAGAGGGCGGGGCGGACAATGGAGAGGTGCGGCTGCAGGAGGACAATGGCCTGGCTGGGGGTTCGGAACGGGCCCAGCCGGGGAGGGGTTGGCCTCGGGACCCGGATGGAGGGAGAGGTGCGAGGACTGGCTAGTTTGGGACGGGAGCACTGAGACTGCTGGGTGGGAGCTGCGGGGGTCATGGGAAAGGAGCACTGGGCGGGGTCGGAAAAGAAGCAGGGGCGAGGTAAGGTGGAGGCGAGGGGGGATATTCGGGGGCGCGGTCCCAGGGATGCTGCAGCGAGCCTGCCGGGGTGGTGGGATGCCACCGTGACCTTGCTCCTCCCCTGTTTCTAGTGCTCGGCGCTCAGAGGTGAGAGTTGGGCTGGGAAATGTTCATATTCCAGGAAGCGGTGAAAAATAAGTTTTTGGAAATAAGGAGTGAATTTGTCTTCCACAAGTCTCCCTTCCCTGCACCCATCCCCGGGAGGAGCGTTGTGGTCAGTTTTAAAAATACGAACTCAAGAGCAGAGTTTTGTGAGGACACACACTTCCAATCGTGATGCATCTGCAGTCTGCTCCCGCCCCTTCCCACCCCGCGCATTGGGTGCAAGAGCCGTCTTTATTTATTTATATTTATATTTTATTTTATTTTGAGGCAGGGTCTCCCTCTGTGGCCCAGGCTGGAGTGCAGTGGCACCATCACGGCTCACTGCAGCCTCGAACTTCCAGGCTCAGGAGATCCTCTGGAGTAGCTGGGACTACAGGCATGCACCACCACATCTGGCTAGTTTTTTTATTTTTTGTAGAGACAGGGTCTCACTATGTTGTTCAGGCTGGTCTCGATCTCCTGGGTTCCAAGATCCTCCTGCCTCGGTCCCCCAAAGTGTTGGGATTAGAGGCGTGAGCCCTACGCTCTACCAAGGAACCATCTTCTGTGTGTCTGCACAGAACCAGGTGCAGAGAAGACATGGGAGGGAATTGAAGTATGAATGAAAGTTTAATGTGTGTCAGTGGGGGAATGGGGTAGTAGCCATGTGAACTAACTGGCCTGGGGGGCTACAGAATGTTGGTGGCACAGTACAGCCTCTTTGTAAGCCTCACACCAACTTTATGTTGTGATAGGTGCCCCATTTCACAGAGGAGGACTCAGCACAGAGAGGCTAAGTGACATTCCCGAGACCACACAGCTGGGCACAGAGTTCTATCCACCCATCACTGTCAAATTCCAGGGTAAAGCTGTGTGGCTTTAACAGGTTACACTCCCTCTGTGAGCCTCTGGTTCCTCATCTATCAAAGGAGAATAAAGGTGCTACCTGACAGGGAAACAGGTGAGGGACTGGGCTGGCAGCAGGCTTCAGAGGATGAAGCATGGGCATTCCCTGCAATGAAACGGCATCAGCCTATGGCTGAGAGACTGGTTGGAAGAACAAAGAAGAAGGTTTTAGCTGGAGGCTAAAGTTCAGGCTGTGGACTTGGGGGTGCCCTCTCTTCTTATGAGAGATGGGGCATTTATTCAACAATTATTTACTTGACACTTACTCCGAGAATTATCACCACCTCCAAGAAGCCTTCCTAAACTTCCCCAGGCTGCTTGCCTTTGGTCTGAGCTCCCTCAACTTGAAGGTTCTGTAATGATTGATTTCCACGTCTGGTTTCCTTCCCACTCACCACCACCCAGCCTGGTACGTGTCCTGCCCTTGTGACATCCCAGCTCTGGGAGATGAATGAGGCTCTCAGAGTTCTCTGGCTGCCCCTGCTGTGAGAGCCTCCTCAGCCGGCTCAGATGAGCAGGATGTCAGAATGAAAAGGAGTTTTTTCAGAACAGACCACCCCATGGCCCCTGAGGCCCTGGGGTGTGTGGGGGAGGCATGGCCAAGGTCATCAGGCGTTGACCAGCAAGCAGGTCTCAGACACCCACATTTGCCCTCTGGCCACTCTTCCAGAGGGGAGGAGGTCTTGTGAGCTGGGGAATCTGGCCTTTTGGTGGCTGAGGAGTTCCACGAAGCATGACAGAGGTGGTCATGGTGGCTGGTCTGGGAGGTGGTAGAGGGCAAGGCTGCTCAGAAACATTAGCCTTTTCTGCCTGATGCTCCACTGCTTCCAAGAACCTTCTACCTTCCTTACGTTCTTCTCACCAGAGGCAGCAGCTTCAATTTCAGGCCTCAGGGCTGTTAAAACGCAGGTCCTCCCACTCTTATGGCAGATAGACATTCACTTTCACGCCTCTATTTCTATTAGTAATTTTGCAGTTTTTTTCTTTTTCTTTTTTTTGCAGTTTTTCTTAAATAGGGCCACCGAATTGTATGAGGTGCCACAGCCCAGGATATCTACTTCCAACTGACCCTTCCACTGCGTCCATACATGCAGGCCCTGTGTGAGACATTGGCAGGGACGCTCCTCCCTCCTGCAGCTCCCCGTCTGGTGGGGTGGTTGGGCTCCACCGAGCTCATCAAGCCCTCAAAATGCTTTGTGCTTTCCTACCTCTCTGCCTCCATCCCTGCCAGCCTAGAGTCCTTCCCCTGTCTCTCCTGCCTGCGTGTGTCCTGCGTGCCCAGTGGGGATCTTCTCCATCCTTCAAGGCCCTTCTCACAAGCCAATGCCTCTGAGAAGCCTGCCCACTTCTCCCAGTGGCAAGCACGGCCTCTTCCTTTGGGGCCTGTGGCACTGAAGGCCCTTGGTGCCTCCTGGGAACTCTGATGCCTTTGGATCTGGGCTGCTGTTGATGTGTCAATTTTCCCACCAGATTATGAGCTTTTGGAGGGCAAGGGGTGGAGTCTGATTTCTCTCTGCCCCAGTCCCTCATTCACCAACCTTTCCTGAGCTGAACAAAGTCCTCTACCAGACAGGGTATCCAGAGATGGGACAATCAGGTGAGAACCTGCCCGTGTCATCAAGGAGCCCCCAGGCCCAGAGCTGTCTGCATGGAGGTGTGTACCAAGTGCTTTGTGAACAGAGGAGGCTGCCTGATTCAGCTGGAGAAGGGCAGCTTCACAGGGAGGGTGACACTTGGATATCTAAGAAGCAGGACCTGTCAAGATAAGGAGGGAAATGTCTTCTAGGCAGAGGGAACATTGAGCACAAAGGCACGAAAGTGGGAATGGGCAGGTGGGGTGAGAAGTTAGGTGCATTTAGGAGAACGGAAATGGCGGAGGGAGAAGTGGGTTGCACAACAGAGCAGTTAGAACACAGACTTTGGAGCTGCATGTCCTGGGTTCAGTTCCTGACACTACCAAGTACTAGCTCTGCTGTCACTCAGTGCCTCAGTTTCCTTAGCTGTAGAGTGGGGATAATTCCAGTACTTACCGTGTAGGATATCTATAAGGATTATTAGGTGAGATAATTTTTGTAAGGCACCTAGGGTAGTGTTGATGACACACATGAGCCCCTGTGAATGTTACGTAAATGAGGGAGAGCCAGAGAGGCCATGTTAGGTGGGGTTTGTGTTTGGACTTTATCAGGAGGCCACTGGAGCATTAGCAGGGAGGGAAGGTGAAGGGGAGTGGGAGGCTTGGCTTGGACCCAGCCCGTTCCACCCACTCCCGTGCATCCAGAGGGCATCCCCGGCCCCCCACCTCTCTGTCCCTCCTCCTCTCTGGCCTTTCACTGCTCTCGGTGGCCCTGTGGCCTCAACTGATATATAATGGGGCTGTAGGAGCTGGGGGCCACACCCACCCAGTACACCTGGGGGAAACTTTATGTTCCAGTTTATTGCCAAAGGAGGTCAAGTAGGGCTTCCTGGGGATCCGGGACACCTGGGCAGGGTGAGCCTCTGAGCTGTCACCTGGCTTACTCAAGGTGGATCTGGTAAGAGTGTGTGTGTGGAGTGGGGAGTGGAGAGGGGCTGGAAGGCACTCGCGTGGCCTGCAGAGCCGGTTGGATGTAGGGCACTGTGGGCTGTGATGCTGTGGGCTTGGGAGCCAGCTGCACTCCTGGCCGTCACCTTCTCTCTCTGTGCCTCAGCTTCCCGTGGGTAAAAGGGAGATGAAAATAGTAGCTCCTTCAGGCCAGTTAGCACAGTTGGGGAAAAAAAAGGAAAAGAAAATAGTGGCTCCTTCAAAGATGGTAAGGATGAAACGATCAAATGTCCACTCAGTGAGGCCTGAGGTACATGGTGTCTATCTGGGAGACCAAAATCAATGCTGTAGTACCAAGGCCGAAAGGTCAAGAGAACCCGTGGCTGGAGAGCGAGGTGGGGGGACGTGTCACACAAGGTTGTAGTCATGAGCTGGCCTCTGTGCCAAGCGTGGAGGGGAGCTGTGGGAGGGCTTCGCAGGGACAGCAAGGTCATATGTGTTTCTCAGAGATCACTGAGGCAGGAAGACAGACCAGGGCCTGTTTTAAGAGTCAAGGTGACAAGGAGAGGTGCGAGTCTGAACCTGGGCCCCAGCTGTGGCCCAAGTGGGGTGGGTGGCATCCAAGAACATTTACAGGGAAAGAGGCACAAGCTACTGATTTGTGTCATTGTAGGGCAAGAGTGAGCTAGAGATTCCAGGGTGACTCTGGTGGTGCTGTTTCCTGGGGCAGGGAGCCTGGAGATGCAGGTATGGGGAAAGGTGATGATGTGGCTTGGGGACATAGTGAGTTTGAGGGACCATTGGGAGATACATGTGATATGATACATGTGTTAGAGCTCTGGGGGACAGGGCAGGGCTTGAGTCCGCCTCCTGCAGGTGGACAGCCTTTGGGAGGAGAGGGTGAGTAGTCCCTAGGAGGGAAGCGTGGCTCCCCATAATGAAAACCAACAGGGAGGGGGTGTGCATGGGGATGGAGCGTGAGGAAGACCCCTGTGAGAGGGAGAAGAGGGCAGTGGGGACCAGACACTGAGAGGAGAGAGCGCAAGGAGAGGTTAGTAAGGGCAGGAAGGACCAGGACGGAGGTGTCCTCTGGGGTACACCGTTGGGACTGTGGGTGACTTGGGAAGAGTAGTGGGGTAAGGTGGGAGGCAGGAACAGGGGCTCACTTCGTGACAGGGTGGATAGCCCCTTCCAGGGCAGCTGACAGGACAACATGGTTGGATGGCAGCTGGGGGTGAGGCAGAGTCAAAGGATGGTTTTGGTTTTTGGCATTGATTTTGGGAGGAGGCTTAAAGTTAAAGCTCTGTGAATAAGGGAGGGGCTGTAGGCTGACCTGGGACT